AGTTATCATTTTAGCTATGAATCTGGACAAACATTTGTCTATATTCTTCATAGCTAAAGTATCAATTATTTTGAGACAGAGGAAATACCGTGTATCTCTTCAATATATAGTATACAAGGATCGTTTCGTTTTCCCCGTGGAATAGTCGAATAGATACTGGAACCTCAGCGCTAACTGTGATCAGTGTGTGATGAATAGGCTCATGAACTCCTCCCCATCCGCCACATCCTTCTCGATCAGATGCTGAGCAAGGTTGTGGGTAATGTCTGCGTGTGGTGACGATATGCGTTCCTCTCCAATAGGTCTTCTCCAACACAACTCCCTCACCCCTCAGCATCCACACCCTCTGTTGTTGCCATCAAGTAGTCCTTTTTGGCTCGACATCTGCTTGATAGGAGCAATATAAAATCTGTCTAACTACTAGTCCTACTGTTATAAAGAATTAGTCATACTTCGAGAAGTGCAAACTTAATATAGATGAGACAGAGCAACCACGGCATCTCAACAGCTACACGAATCCGATATTTGACTGCCATTAACACTGTTGCTCTGTCGCTCTGTAGCTCTGAAGCCTGAGCTTGCACAAGCACGGAAGGCACACTGTGTTCCACAATCCACAAATGATTTAGCCTAGTCCCAAAATCCATATGGGCTATCGAGCGGGCTGGACTTATCGACAGGTACTGCCACAGCAAATCCGGTTTGTTGAGGGTGAAGCCGTGAAGGTGGCAAGGTCAACACCCTCCCAACAACACGTTGTGAGATGGGCACGCTGAGGCGGAGCGAACACCTACCCCGGAAACCCCGCGCGGCCAACTCCACACTCCAGGCGTAGAACGTTCTTATGCATAAGCTTGGCGTCGCTGTCAACACCAACACTGTGGAAGCTGAGGTCGTTGAAAAGTACCAGGCGACCTTTGCGGCCCTTTGTCGGCCTCCAAGCAGGAGGCACTGCAGACGCTGTTCTCGGGCAAATTCAACCTGGTGGCCATCAACCTTGATTTGGCCGGGTTTGACGCCGAGGATACATAAGCCTCGTGCTCAGCTGGTTTATCGCAAAATACTACTGTGTAAATCACAACTACGTGTGTTTTTATGTTCGCTGGTCTCGGTAATCAGTGAATTACCGTGGCTAGCTTAGGGTGTAACAAACTCTTCTTCTGCTTAATGAAAAACGTGCCGCGGCATGATCGCGACCGACACCTTTTAAGCCAGACTCAAAGGTGACGTGATTCCTTGGTCATTTCATTTGCATCTCTCTGCAGATTCATCGATTACAGCCTAGTGTGTGCGCCTCCGTCGTCAAATACAGATTCCAATCGCAGATATATATTTCAAGCAGCCAGGATGGCGGCGGTCTGGCAGAGAGCATGGAGCGGCGGCTCTAGGCAGCCGGTTTCCGGCAGCACCACCTCCACTTCAGGTACCATTACCACCCTCTCAACTGCCACCAACACCACCTCATTCAGTCATTCGATCCGGTCGGAGAACGACCTCTGTTCATGGAGGAAAACGCGGAGGAGGAGCTCCATCAAGAAAGAGCCATTGGAGCTCAAGCAAGAGGTTGCCAAGACGCGCCTGCACATGAGGGGCCTGGTGGAGGAATTCTGTGCCGGTGCCAATGGCAACGTCACTGCCCCGAACAGGTGGCTCTCAGAGCTGCATGTCGCCTGGCTTCTCCGCCTTGCTGAGCTTGGTGCAACCGCACAGAGGATCTTCGTCTCGCGGCAGCTACAGCGTCTTGTAAAGACCGGGACCCCCGCTCTACAGGTGATTAGCACATCCGTCTGCAAATGCTTTAGTGGACTTCGTAGCGAAGAGAAGGCAAGTGTTGGTCCACCTGCACCTTTTGAACTTGCACAATTTGTCAAAGCAACCTTGCTGAAGATGTTCACCTTTGTTCACGCGATTGCTGCTCTTGCTCCTCTGAATGCTGGTGATCCTAGTGGTCAACAGCATGTTTTTTCTAGCAGTGTGGTGGGAGCAGCTGAGAAGCTCCGTGCACTGCTAGAGGTCCGTGATGCTCTCTCCGTGGCATCAGAACAGATCATGATGTCTTTCACTTCCTCATCCTGTTCGCAATCCACCGGGGTAACTTCTGATATTGGAGGCTTCTTGTCAGCAGAACTGGGTAAGTTGGATCATGCCATACGGAACGCATTTGACCAGATCAGGACTGCTCTCATTCCGTCTTGGGACGGCAACTCCTGTTCATGGGGTACTACTCAGATCCTGCAATCAGATATCCACAAGGTCACTCGGTCTGTGATAAACTACATCAATATGCTGTCCCCTAAAGCATTGCTCCATGTGATTTTTGAGCCTCATCATGGAGATATGTGTTCTGTTTTACTACATCAAAAAGATATGTGTTCTATGACTACTACCCTGATCATGGAGATGGTTGGGTCCCTAGAAGAAGAGCTTGCCAGAGTATCAAAGTCGTTTTCCGACCAGAGCCTTAGGTTCATCTTCTTGATTAACAACTTTTACTTCATTAGACAGCAGCTTGAGGCAATTTGGACCATTGACGGCCTCACGCATTTTTTGAACAGCCTCACTCCCAAAATCAACAGATACATACACAGTTATCTGCAAGTGTCTTGGGCACCAGTGTTGAAATGCTTGCGCAATTCTACAATTCATTGCTTCAAGAGAAACTCACCACTGCGAAAGTTTGAGTCCAAGTTTCATAAAACCTACGCTGCGCAGAAGCTCTGGAAAGTCCCGGACACTGAGCTGAGGAAAAGGCTGCGTGAAGCTATCATTGGGATAGTCGTTTCAGGCTTTCTGGAATACTTGGAGGATAACAATAGCATCACCCAGGAGCCACTCCTCAGGAGTTGCAGGAGATGCTGCAGGAGCTATTCGAAGGGTGAACAAGTGCATCATAAAAGACAAGTTGCCAGCTAGTACTTGTGTCTTTTCACATATGTTTGCAGTTCTGTTTCTGTTTTTTTTTGGGGGAATAAAATGTTGTTGCTTGGAAATTTTAATTATGCCTGTACCCTAATCAGGTGTCACCGTGTCAGTATATACAATAGATTGAATACCTAGCCTCCTCAGCTGAACTAGTATCTCCCTAAATGATGCACTGCAAGTATAATAAGCAAGCAAGGAGTGCTGCTAAATTAAAATTAATAACCAAACATTTAGACATGTCACCTGTATAATAAGCAAGCAAGGAGTGTGGTGGCGATGCCATGCGAATCGCCTGTGCGGTGGGACGCCAACGCCGGTGCGGCTGCGGACCTGCAGTAGGGGAGTGGGGAGAGCCAAGAGCAAAGGATATAATGTATCCTTAGTTGGGCCTGTTTTGCTGGGCCTTTTTTTATCATCTGTTGGGCCTTTTTACCAATGTGCTTAAACTTTGGGTCCCCTGACGGCACCTGCGGGGAGAATCAAAACCATGAGACCCGCAGGGCGAATATTAGACCCGCCCAGCCCCACGGGTCCAAAACCCCATGGGTTTTGGGTCCAGACCTGCCCCGTTGCCATCTTCGGCAAATGCAGGCTTATTTCTTTGGGATGAAAAATGGAAGAATTGAATGAATATATTAATTATCTATCAAATGCAAGTAAGTAAACTAGTCTAGTAAAAATTAGCATTTACAGTACAAAAACATAATAGACATAAGGTCAGAATCCCAAATATTTCAGTGAAAAACAGACTAATTGATCTTCTGAAGGAGTTAACATACATTTGAAAATAGATTAATGCAAGTGCCCATCATTTACGGGCAGAAGATTAATGATTAATCAAACCTGATAGAACAAGTGTCATTGGATAAATGTGAAAGCTCAACTCTGAAGCAAACGTTTTCGAATCATCTGCGGTACAAGCATCTGAATCACTTTAGACTTATATGTTTTGATTAACTCATAGAGCACTAGTGGATTAAGAGGAACAATTGGATACGTTGCCTCAGTTACCTCAATGATTTCTGACACTCCTTTGCATGTTAACTCCAATTTTCTGAAATTTTGGTCAAGTTTCTGCATTTGTGAAAGCTCAACAAGGCCCCGTTCGTTTGGCTGAAATTGACTGAAAAACACCTTGTCCGATCGAATTGTTTGAGAGAGAAAATATTGTTCTACTGAAAAAAGTTTCGAATAAGCCGGATTATAAGGTAAGCCGAACGGAGCCTACTCGTGGCATGTTCAGAGAGATATCCAAGATATCAGTGAACTAAGAAAAATCTATACAGAATCGCTACTCTTACATTTTTTTGACCAGAACGGCCAGACAAAAAAAAAGGGTGATGCGTAATAGAATGGCCCGCCGGGCCTCCTCTCCAGGAATGGAACGGCTCCGATCCCCCGTCACGCGAAATGGAAAGGCGCTAAACACAAAGGGATCCAGAAAGGGGCTGGAGATGCGGCCGTGGATGACCATCGACGACGGGCATTGGAGGTGTCGCCGTGGTCGCGGCGATACCAACGCACGGGAAAAAGCAAGAAAAAAAAGGATCGGGGTAGACCACGCCCCGTAAGCCATGACTACGAGAGAAAATACTATTCAGAGGTTGAAAAAAGACGGTTTATAAGCTAAACGAACAGATAGTCCGATTTGGATTTGCCGACCACGGAAATTAGGAGGCGGAAAGGCGTGAGCTCCCCACTTGAACTCGGACCTCACGGAAATGCTTGAATGGCCACGGAACGAGGGGGGGGTCGGGGGAGAGATGAGTCTGGGCTGAGCACGGGCTGGGTTTGGCCGAGCCGGGCCCAAGTGGGACCCAGGAGAAAATACTTAATAGAATTATTTAATTTACTAGCTTGATTGCTTTGAAATCCGTATAATTTTTAGAAAAAAGGAGTATTTGGAGCAGTTCTCCTGCTAAAGTTTATGTTTTTTAAAAATAGTGCTACTAAAAGCTGAGTCAAAACCTTGCTAAAACGGAGAGAGAGAAAGACACACCCCCAGGACAAACAAACGCTAGAACGACTCAACTACTACTAAGAAACACAGATTCGAAGCAGCCAGGATCAGGATCAGGATGGCGGCGGTTCGACGGAGAGCATGGAGCGGCGGCTATCGGCAGTGGGTTTCTGGCAGCACCGGCGCCTCTTCAGGTACCACCATCTCGAGCACCGCCTACACCCCCGCATCATCCTATTCAGTAGGGGAACGACCTCTGGCAGTCGAGGAAGAAAGCGCCGAGGGGCTCGACCAAGAACGAGCCATGGAGCTCCCGCAAGAGTTGGCGGAGACTTTGCGCCTGCACATCAGGGGCCTGGTGAAGGAATTCAGTGCTTGTGCCGATGGTAACTTCAGTGCCCCGGACAGGTGGCTCTCAGAGCTGCAGGTCGCCTGGCTTTTCCGTCTTGCTGACCTCGATGCATCCGGGCGGAGGATCTTCATCTCGCGGCAGCTACAGCATCTTGTACAGAGTTGGAACTCGGCTCTCCGGGCGATCACCACATCCATCGTCCAGGCATGCTTCAGTGGATTTTCCAGCCAGGACCAGGAGGAAGCTACTGTTGCGCCCCCTGCAGCTCCTGAATTTGTACGATTTGTCGAAACGACGATGTTGAAGATGCTCACCTTCGTTGACGCCATTGCTGCTCCTCTGAATGTCGATGATCCTAGCTGCCAACAACATACTGTTTCTACCAACAAAGAGGGGGCAGCTGAGAAGCTCCGGGCACTGCTAGACGTGCATGATGCTCTCTCCAGAGCCTCAACACAGATCGTGATGTCTTTCAGTTCATCACCCTATGTAGGATCCACAAGGATAACCGACGATATGGAAGGCCTCTTGTCAGCAGAACTCGGCAAGCCGGATGAGGCCGTATCTGACACAGTGGATCACATCAGGACTGCTGTCATGTCATCCTTGGGGGATGACTCATCATGGGGTACTGCTCACACTCTGCTGCCATCACCCAATATCCACAAGGTCACTCGGTCCGTCGTAAACTACGTTAAGGCATTGCACCCTGCAAATTATGCACATCATCATCGAGAGGGAGATACGATTTTTCTTACTAGCCTCATCATGGAGATGGTCGTTTCTCTAGAACAGAAGTTTACCATGTTAGATTGATCTCCCAGTCAATAAGCCCAACGACCTATTGGGTCTTGGTCACGCGCCCTCATCGGGGGAGCCCAACCCTACATGGTTGGTGGGCCCCCATCGCACTGCGCTATATAAAGTGGTGGGGGCTGACGGCTCGAGGTACGAGGTTCACCGTGAGCCGCAAACCCCACCTACAAACCCTAGACCGATCTCGAGAGGGCGCAGCCCAATGACGGAAGCTCCACTCGATTTCGGCGTCGTCACATCGCCACACCGTCCGTCTGCCTTTGCATCGACGTCTGTGCCACCTCTACTCCACCGTCGCTGCCTGCGTCGTGAGACCTTCATCACCGAACTTGAGATGGCCGGCTCCAGTTCATCCACGACTCCCTCCGAGGGCTCAGGTTCAACACCAACACCTCTCTCTCTATCTCTCTGTCTCCACCTCTCGGTCTAGATGTACTAGGGCTTATCTAGATTAACTGGTTACCTAGAAGTCCCTCGGTTCTACTCTAGATCGTTTCTATGGATATAACATTGGTATCAGAGCCACGATTTAGGTATAGATCTGGCTTAACAAATAGAAATCGGTGTGGATCTAGAATGTAGAAAGGGGCTTGACCGACAAAGGGTTTGGTTGAACCCCAACCTCGATCCCTTGAATCTGAGAAAAGATGTAGGTTCGGATGAAAGAAAATCTAACCCTAACCCTAGATAGGGTTCAGGAAAAGAAAGAAAAGATACATCCAAACCCTAGATCGGGTTTTGGGACAGAGATGATAACAAGGTTTCAATTGGAAACCGAACTTGAACCCGAGAGAAGAAATCAAATCGGGAAAAAGAAAAACAGTGGCCATTCCAAACCCTAACCCTAACCCTAATCGGCAAATCGGAAATCCGAACAAACGAATCAAAAGAAAGGGGAAGAAAGGAAAGGGGGTGGCCTACCTCGCCGTTGCTTGCAACACTGCGATCCACGCTCACTGCTGGCAAAAAAAAGGCCGGGGGCACGGCTTGCGGTATCCGGCCACGAGGCGCAGTTAAAGCCACCCTTTCGACGGCAATGGCGCGCCACCCACCGGGAGCGCAGACGCATGCGGCGCGAGGGGGCTCATGACGGGCGCCGAGGCTCGCTGCTTGCTCCCGTCGTGGTCGCTCGCTCGGTGACTGACTGAGGAGAGAAGAGAGCGAATGAGAATGAATTAGGGTTTTCGGCTTCGGATGCGCGCCACGTCGTTTTATTCCGAGCGAAACGCCCGCTCGGCCATCCGATGTTGAACGGACGGCCAAAATTGAATGGGCCAGCGCCGCAGCCCAGGCGGGATAGGGCGCGAGGCCGAATTCCCTTGAGCCCAAAGTTATGGCCTGGGCGCTGGGAGAAGCTACTGAAGTCACTGCGGCCGTGGGTAATATGGGCCGTTTATATTGCTATGGGCCAAAATGGCCGAACACAGTGAAATAGAATTAAAAGATTTTTCCAGAAACTTTTGATGCATATTAGATGAATCTGTATTGCATTTTTTTATGCAAATTTTTGTACAAAATTTATCCAACGATATTTTTTTTCAGTAAATAGTAAAGTTGCTTCTGGAAAATAAAATTAAAAGATTTATTAAAGTTTCCGCTACGTACTTAAAAATTGTTGTTTTCTTTATTAAATTCAAACCAACGGGAGAATTTAATTTTGAAACATAGAAAAAATTTTACAGTTATTATAATGTTGTTATTATTCTGACCAACGTTGATTAATAGCAATATTATAATGTTGATGTTATTATAGTCTTTTGTTATGCATTATATCTATTTCTGTCCAACGGTGATGTAGATTTAATGTATAAAACAATTGTATGTTTTAATTTTGACCAACGTTAAACTAAGGCATGCAATTATTGTTGTTATTATTTGTGTCCTCACACTATTTGAATTGTGTTTTCAGGAGGATATAACTTGATGAGTTGTATCAAAGAGATCTCCACTCTAAAAGGTGATAATTATATTGAGTGGAAGAAAAAGATAGACCTGGCTTTCATCCTCGCTGAGGTGGACTGGGTTGTCACCACACCGTGTCCCAAAGAACCTGTGGCACCGGTGAGGGAGACAGATGAGACTGATGCTGCATGGCAGAACAGAGAGCGGGACTTTGCTCCCGTAAAGATGTCTTTTGACCTTGAAAATAGAAAGTGGGTCACAGCCAATAAGAAATGTTTGGCTGTGATAAAGAATACAATTGAGCCTCGCAATAGTGGGCTCAATTCCGAGCATCGTGACACAGTCCACAGAGTACCTAGAAAGAATAAAGAGTCAGGTTCTTTGGCTCTTCAAAGATATATGCAACCCAAATTGGTGATCAAGCGTTTGATTCTGAAAAAAAAGGTACTCGATGGCGATAAAGTGGCATTAAAGAGCACATACTGAGAATGAGCAATCTAGCATCTAAGCTCAAACCAATGGATTTGGCACTCAAAGATGAGTTTCTTATTCATTTGATTTTTGCTTTTTTGCCCAAAGAATTTGACACCTTTGTTGTTAATTACAACATACAGCCTGAAAAATGGGATTTAGAAAAGCTCATAGCCATGTGTGTGCAGGAGGAGGAAAGAATAAAAGTTTCACAGGGTGGTACTGTGAACTATCTAAAAGATAAGAAAAAGAACTATAATAACAGCTCTTCCTCCAAGTCATCTAGAAAGGATCACATGCAACAGTCTCAGAACAAGCAATTCCCAGTGGATAAAGATCAGTGTCTCTACTATAAGAAGACGGGACATTATAAGAAGAATTGTCTCGATTTCCTAAAGATGATAATGAAAAATAAAGGTGAGAACATTATTACGTTCGTAAATGAATCCTTATATGTCAAGTTTCAAAATCTACTTGGTGGATTGATTCAGGTGTAACTATTCATGTTGCTAATTCATTACAGAGGATTCCGTTCGATGAGAACTTTGCAAAGAAGCAAAAGTTTCATTAAAGTCGCAAATGGAGTACAAGCAGATGTTGAGGCCGTTGGCGATCTTTTCGCTAGAGCTTCTTTGATGGCTTCATACTTTTTCTTAGAGATGTTCTTTATGTACCTTCTTTACAAAGAAACTTGATTATTGTATCAAAGTTGGACCATGATGGTTATGATTGTCATTTTGGAAATGGCAAATGTCAGATATTGTTTAATAATAGATGTATTGGTCTTGCCTTCCGACAAGACGAGCTTTATTTGTTATCACTTCGTGAAAATCTGAATTCCGTATGTGATGCGAATGATAATGTATCCTCATCGAACAATGCAAACAGAAAACAAAAGAGAGCTCACGATGCGTTGTCGAAATTATGGCACTATCGTTTAGGCCATATTTCGAGGGGGAGAATAGAAAGACTAGTTAAGAATGATATTCTTCCTCCATTAGAGCTCTCATATTTAGAACAATGTAGAGATTGCATAAAAGGAAAGTATGTAAAGAAAATTAAGAAAGATGCCAAACGAAGCGTAGGAATTCTACAGATTATTCACATAGATATCTGTGGTCCTTTTCCTGTAAAGAGTGTGGATGATTTTGATTTATTCATAACATTCACAGATGATTACTCCCGTTATGACTACATTTATCCAATTAAAGAAAGAATAGAAGCGTTGGATAAATTCAAAATATTTAAAGCAGAAATTGAAAATCAGCATGATTTAAAGATTAAGATAGTCAGGTCTGACCATGGGGGGGAGTACTATGGTCGGCATACCCCATATGGACAAGTTCCTAGACCTTTTGCAAGGTTCTTACAGGAGAATGGTATAGTCGCACAGTATTCAACACCGGGCGAACCTCAGCAGAATAGAGTAGCTGAAAGACGTAACCGTACCCTGATGGATATGGTGCGTAGTATGATAAGTTACTCCACTTTACCGATGAGTCTGTGGATGGAGACGTTAAAAACCACCATTCATATTCTCAATAGAGTACCAAGTAAGTCGGTGCCCAAAACACCGTATGAGTTGTGGACAAGAAGAGTACCCTCACTTAACCACTTGCGTGTGTGGGGGAGCCCTACTGAGGCTAAAGTTTTTAACCCAAACATTGGGAAGCTAGATCCCAAAACAGTGAGTTACCATTTCATTGGTTACCCAGAAAAGTCAAAAGGTTTTCGTTTCTACTATCTAGATAGACATACAAAGTTTGTGGAAACGAGACACGCTGTCTTCCTAGAGGATGAAATGATGAGGGGGGGCATGGTAGCTCGAGAAATTGACCTTGAAGAGAAGCGGGTGTATGTACCCACTCCGATCATTCATGAGCTATTTTTCTCACTACCTGTTGTTGCTGCACCGACAGTACAAGACACTGTGGTGCCAGCACCTGTTGTTATCCCGCCTATGGCAACAATGAATGATGATGAGGAACCTGTTCCTCAGGATCCTATAGAAACTATTGCCACACATGAGGGGGAGCAACAACAGCCTCAAACAGAAAATGTGCCAAATGAGGAGGCCCCTAGAAGGTCTCAAAGAGTTAGAAAATCAGCTATTCCTGCTGATTATGAAGTGTATAACACTGAAGAATTTCAAATGGAGGATGATCCCACCTCATTTGAAGAAGCCATAAAAAGTGATCATTCATCAAAGTGGCTTCAGGCCATGGAAGATGAAATGAGATCAATGAATGCAAATAAAGTTTAGGATTTGGAGATAATTCCTAAAGGAGTCAAAACAGTAGGCTATAAATGGGTCTACAAAACAAAACTTGACTCTCAAGGGAATATAGAGAGATATAAAGCCTGACTTGTGGCAAAAGGCTTTACACAAAGAGAAGGAATTAATTACAATGAGACCTTTTCTCCAGTCTCATGTAAGGATTCATTCAGAATCATAATGGCATTAGTGGCACATTACGATTTAGAATTACATCAGATGGATGTAAAGACGACATTTCTCAATGGAGACTTAGAGGAAAATGTTTACATGGCACAACCGAAAGGTTTTGTCATGGAAGGAAAAGAACGTTTGGGATGCCGCCTAAAGAAATCCATTTATGGATTAAAACAAGCTTCAAGACAGTGGTACTTGAAGTTTGATCAGACAATAAAGAATTTTGGGTTTAAAGATAATGTTGAGGACAATTGTGTCTCACATAAAGTTTAAGAATGGGAAGTTTATCTTCCTTGTCCCGTATGTGGATGATATCTTACTTGCTAGTAGTGATGTCAGTCTACTATTGGAAACAAAGAAGTTTTTGTCCTCAAAATTTGATATGAAAGATCTTGGTGAAGCTTCGTTCGTTCTAGGGATCGAGATTCACCGAGATAGAAGTAAAGGGGTATTAGGACTGTCACAAAAAGCATACATAGAAAAAGTCTTAAAGAAATTCTGTATGCATAAATGTAGTCCCTCACCTACTCCTATAGTCAAGGGCGACAGATATGGGAATTTTCAATGCCCTAGGAACCAATATGAGATCGATCAAATGAAAGTGGTTCCATATGCTTCAGCTGTCGGAAGCTTGCAATATGTTCAAGTATGCACGCGCCTTGACTTGGCATTTGTTACCGGGTTACTTGGCAGATTCTAGAGCAATCCTGAAATAGAACACTGGAAATTGGTAAAGAAAGTCTTGCGTTATTTGCAAGGAACGAAAGGCCTCATGATGACGTATAGAAGATCTGATTCACTCCATATAGTGGGATATTCAGATTACGATTATGCGGGAGATAATAGAAAATCCACGCCGGATATGTGTTCACTCTCGCGAGGGGAGCTATTTCATGGAAAAGCTCAAAGCAAACCGTCTACTACATCGTCCACAATGTATGCCGAGTTTGTAGCGTGTTATGAGGCAGCAGGCGGTGAGCGGCTAAAGAAGTTCATACCTGTTTGAAGGTGGTTGGCGACATCAATAGACCACTTTGAAGTTATCTGCGATAATAATCCAAAGAAGACGGTATGCTCACAACAATAGGTCAAGTGATCTTTGCCAAACACATTGACATAAAGTATTATGTTATGAAGGATAAAGTCCGGGATCAAATGATAAGTCTTGAGCATATAAGTACCGAAAAGATGCTCGCGGATCCGCTTACAAAAGGCTTACCACCCAACGTGTTCAGAGAACATGTAGCCGGCATGGGTTTAAGGGAAAGCCTATGACTCCTGGACTATAAAGGGCTCAAAAGTTAAAGTAATTATTTCAGATCAGAGACGTGCATTGTAGCTGTTAAATCTATCGGCGATTGACCGTGACGATGAAACATGCTCTATGCATCATCTGTGAAGAAATGAGTAAGGATAAAAGGATTGAAGTTTAAAGTTTAAAGATAAAAGTAATAGTGTGAGATCAAGGGGGAGAATGTTAGATTGATCTCCACCAATAAGCCCAACGGCCTATTGGGCCTTGGTCGCAGCATACCGATCGGGGCGCCCAACCCTACATGGTTGGTGGGCCCCGTCGTCCACTGCGCTATATATAAAGTGGTGGGGCCGACGGCTCGAGGTACGAGGTTCACCGTGAGCCGCAAACCCCACCTACAAACCCTAGACCGATCCGAGAGGCGCTTGACCGGTGACAGGAAGCTCCATCGACTTCGCCATCATCACATCGCCGCCACACCGTCATGCACCTTTGATGCATCGACGTCTGTGCCACCTCTACTCCACCCGTCGCTGCCCGTGCGCAGACCTTCATCACCGAACTTGAGATGGCCGGCTCCAGTTCATCCGCGACTCTCTCCGAGGGCTCAGGTTCAACACCAACATCTCTCTCTCTATCTCTCTGTCTCCACCTCTCGGTCTAGATGTACTAGGGCTTATCTAGATTAACTGGTTACCTAGAAGTCCCTCGGTTCTACTCTATATCGTTTCTATGGATATAACATACCAAAGTATCACAGACATTCTCAGACCAGAGCATCAGGTTTCTATTCTTGATCAACAACACCAACTTTATAGGGCAGCAGCTCCACCAGGACCCCACTCACAAAATCGATAACTACATAGAGAGTTATCTCCAAGTGTCGTGGGCACCAGTGTTGAAGTGCCTGAATAATCCCACATTTCATTGTGGCTTCACCAGAAGCTCACCAATACCGAAGTTCCAGTCCAAGTTTCAGACGATCTATACTGCCCAAAAGCTCTGGAAAGTCCCGGACCCTGAGCTGAGGAAAAGGCTGCGTGAAGCTATCATTGGCATAGTCGTTTCAGGCTTTATGGAATACTTGGAGGACAACAATAGGATCACCCCAGCCCCAGGAGTCCCTCCTCAGGAGCTGCAGGAGCTGTTGCAGGAGCTATTCGAAGGATGAACAGAACAAGTGCACCATAGAAGACGAGTTGCTGACTACTTCTGTTTTCATGCATCTTTGATGTTCTGTTTTGGGTTTGGAATAAAATGATGTTGCTTGGAAATTTAATCATGTTTGTACCCTCAATAGGTGATATTAATATATGTACTAGATATTGAATTTGTAGTCTCCATAACACGGGTCAGTCTGATAATGAGATAAAGTAGTCATTTATCTATGCAAATAAGTGGTTGAACCAGGATATTCCTAAATCATGCACTGTAAAACATTCAGACATGCATATTCTGCATTCAGCCAAACAACAGGGTTCCAACATAATAGTACTGTACCGAACAGACTGGTTCTAGAAGAAAACAAGACCAAGAACATGCCAAAGTGCTAGAATCAAGTTCTGAACAGTAAGATAAGATTGGCATGTTGCAATCAGTAATCAATTTTAGCACCTTGTAGCATTATTACTGGAACCAGCAAGAAATGAGGCTACTGGTTCAAGGCAAAATTTGGAACTAACTTAACATCACATGACCAGAAAGCATATAAAAATAATAATCTGAGGAATTCGCTGAGAATACTCGCCGTAGGAACAAACAAACCTGGAAAGCTGTGTTGTGCCGCCGTGGTCTCGCCGAACAAGGAAGACGGACACACAGCGCCCCTGGGGCTTGGGCACGACGTAGCACACTAGACACCAACACCATCATGATGTGGAATTGCCCCTCAGATTCAGGCATGCAGCTGCTAAGACCTCACTTTCAGGAATTGATGAAGCAGACTCCATTTTTCCATGAGATGTGCAGGGCTGGAAGGCAGCTGGCAATCTCGCCCCCTCCGGATCGCAGCAGAACCTGGTGTCACCTGTAAAAATCAGTACCTTACTCTGGCTTCTGAAGCTGCGTGCGCGAGGAAAAGCTGATGCATTTTATGTTTCATTGGATTATCTTGATACTTTGTGCTCTTATTCAATAATAGACCTGGAACATAGAGCTGTCCGTATCTTTTGTCTTGAGCCAGCATCAGTCCTATTCATTGTCTTCTGTTTCTTCTAAGTAAGGGTGTGTTTAGTCGGGGAGATGAATATTTTTGGGTGTCACATCGGATGTGTCGGAAGGATGTCGGGAGGGGTTTTTGGATACTAATAAAAAAACAAATTACAGAACCCATCAAAAAACTGCGAGACGAATCTAATGATACTAATTAATCGGACATTAGCATATGTGGGTTAATGTAGCACTTAAGGCTTTTCATAGACTAATTAGGCTTAAAAGATCCGTCTCGTGATTTTGCCGAGAACTGTGCAATTAGTTTTTTTTTCGTCTACATTTAGTACTCCATGCACGTGTCCAAACATACTCTTTTACTGTAGGAGGCAAAAAAATTTAGAAACTAAACAGGGCCTAAATGCAACTGGATTGTCAAAAGCCCTGTCCATATTTTCACAGGCGACAGGTCAACCGGGTGCTATTAATTGTAAGCAGTAACATTTTACTTGCTCAAAGTCAGTAGATGCTTTTTACAATCAACTACTATACAGGTATGCAAAAACATCTTTGGCTACATCATTGTAGTTCCTACAAGCCGGGCTCTCCATTTCCCTTTGTGATTGGTCTCGCACAAATCACTCAAAAGCATATACACCGCGACGAGCTAGGTAGCCGCACGCCTTGTGATATCTCAAGCGACAAACAACTCGGCCTGGCCGTCAATGAACAAGCTCATGAACTCCTCCCCGTCCACGGTCTCCTTCTCGATCAGGAGTTGGGCGAGCTTGTGGAGGATGTCGATGTGCTTGGTGATGATCTGCGTTGCTCTAGAGTAGGCCTTCTCCACCAGTTCCCTCACCTCAGCGTCCACGACATCCGCGGTTGCCATCGAGTAGTCCTTCTGGCTTGACATCTGTGAAAAAAAAAGTGAACATTTGTCAGATTACTCTTCAAACTGGTGCTAGAAAATGTGAACATTTGTCAGACTACTATTCAGACAGGCTAAAAAGAGTTGGCCACGGAAATTCTGAGAAGAAAAGGCTAATGTAGATGAGATATTTCCATGTTAGGCAGGGCAACCAGGTTCGCAGCAGCCACACAAAATGAGACACGTGCCTGTTCACACCGTTGCTACAAACAGATGATGACAGAATTGGCAGTATACAAGTTGCGTGTTATGCAAACACTTTAGATGACCGGGAGCCAGGTTGTAGTGCTCATCAAGGTAAGTGGGAACTACTGAACATGTAGAAAATGACATTCCCTAGATGCTGGTGGAGATTTCTGGGCACCAACCACCAAGCAAATGGAGACAACCATTGTTGAAGTTTACACGCCAAGTTCTTCAGATGATTTCTATATGTTCTTAATTCCAGGCTAACATAATTATCCTTGCAGGCCCATTTCAGTTACAGTGTCATACCTGTTGCCCCAAGAAAGGGTTTCCACCAGGCCCCCCAATCGCAACTTGGCCTATCTTCTTACTGAATCCAAATCTTTCGACCATTTGTCTTGCGACACGTGACACCTGCATAAAGTCGTTGGAAGCTCCTGTTGTCACATTTTCCTGGCCAAAGATCACCTCTTCAGCAACCCTGCAAACCATGAGATTAGCTCACAGTCCATCACTATGCGCAATAGAAACAGTTAATGGTGCAGGAACGAACAAAACTTTCACGAAAGAGCACCTGCCACCAAGGGCTACAGCCATTTGGTTCTCAAGATAGCTCCTGCTGTACAATCCAGATTCTAGCCTTTCTTCACTTGGAGCAAAGAATGTGAGTCCACCAGCCTGGCCACGAGGAATGATGGAAATCTTGGCTACCGGATCATACTCTGGCATGAGGGCACCGACAAGGGCATGCCCAGCCTCTACAAATTCGAAAGTTCAATAACAGATTAGGAACCTGAGCCCCACAAGCAGAGCCAAACTTCTGATCATAAGTAGACAATATTTACCATGGTAAGCGACAAGCCTCCTCTTCCCCTCAGAAACAACAGCATTTTTTTCTTCTCGGGCCCAGCAATGATTCTCTCAAGAGCATCAGAGATCTCATCCTTGCTAATTTCCTTAAGGTCACGGCGAGCAGCAAGGATGGCAGCCTCATTCATGAGGTTTTGGAGGTCAGCACCAGTGAAACCAGGGTCCTTCTAGCAATTTTCTCAAAGTCGACATCTTTTGCCAAAGCCTTTCCTCGGGAGTGGACCTATTTGATTAAAAAAACATGACTTGTAAGCTCAAGTATACATTTAAAATGATCTCAGGATGCTGGGAAAAATCAAGGATTTTTTTGAATAACTTTGTGCATGCTAGTACAGCTTGTACCTAGAAAGGTTAGCAGGAGTAGATGGAGATACATTAAGGCCATAGTGCTTAGAATTTGGAACTCACAAAGCTAGTAAACAACATATGTTCTAATCTTACAAGGATATGAACCCTTTGTTCTGCTATTCGATACATAGACAATCACCCTTATGGCTTAATGACTTATACATTTCAGGGGTAGACAACTGCCAAATATGTAGCCCCATTTCCACTAATGAAATTAGTTATGACGCAGCATCTTATAACACTAAGAAGATGTGGAGTGTCTCCAGCGCCCAGGCTAATAAGTAATAACTATTACAAATATATTTTTTTTATCTGTGTTTGTCAATTTCCATTTCCAAGCAAGGAAGTAGAAGTACCCTTTTCTAGACTAGCTGCATCAATGTCACTTAACCAATGCAAGTATCTTCAGTCGCAGGAGCTCTAAGCAGGTTTATAAATAAGTTCATCAACACTACTAGTAGTTCAGAAGCATATTAACAGCTGCTAGCAACGCACAAATTTACAGGTTAGTAGCAAAAGGTGCTCATCACTGACCTCAAGAATCTTGACGCGTCCGGCAACATCTGGCCTGTCAACGGTGACCTGCCTATCGAACCTCCCTGGCCGTAAGAGCGCCGAGTCCAGCACGTCAGGCCTGTTGGTTGCGGCGAGCACAATGACACCGCTGTTGCCAGTGAAGCCATCCATCTCTGTCAAGAGCTGGTTAATGGTCTGCTCTCTCTCATCATTACCCCCACCAAGTCCGGCACCACGCTGCCTCCCGACGGCATCAATCTCATCAATGAAAACAATGCAGGGCGCCTTGGCCTTGGCCTTCTCGAAGAGGTCGCGCACCCTGGAGGCCGACACCGACGAAGAGCTCGACGAACTCAGAGGCCGCGCAGGAGAAGAAGGGCACCCCAGCCTCCCCAGCGACGGCACGCGCGAGGAGGGTCTTCCCGGTCCCAGGCGGTCCGACGAGGAGGCATCCCTTGGGGATCTTGGCTCCGAGCGCGGTGTACTTGTCGGGGTTCTTGAGGAAATCGACGACCTCCTGCAGCTCGAGCTTGGCCTGGTCCGCGCCGGCGACGTCGAGGAAGGTGACGCCCGTCTCAGGCACCTCCTGGAACTTGCTCTTGGAGCGGCCGAAGTCCATGGGCCCGCCGAGCCCGCCGGGGCCAGCGCCGGGCCCGCCCTGCGCGCGGCGGAAGAGGAAGAAGAGGCCCGCGAAGGCGAGGAACGGGAAGAGGAGGTTGCCGACGAAGGCGACGAAGCCGCCCGGGCCCGCCGACTCGCCCTCGGAGACGGAGATGTCGACGCCGTTGGTGGCGAGGATGTCGATGAGGTCCGGGTCGTTGGGGACCACGACGGTGGCGCGGCGGCCGTCGACGGCGGTCAGCTGGAGCAGGCCGCCGTCCTTGGTGAAGCGCACGCGCTCCACCTTGCCCCGCTTGACGGCGGACAGGAACTCGCTGTACCGCCACTGCGCGCCCTCGGGGAGGTCGGAGGCCGCGGAGGGCTTGGGCGCCGTGAGGAGGGAGCTGGAGAAGGGGTTGGCGGTCGGCGTGGGCGCCTCGGCCTGGAGCTCGGGCGCCGGCGCGGGGGCGGGGATCGGGGCCGGGGCGGGGGCAGGCGCGTCGGCGGCGAGCGCTGGCGAGGCGGCGAGAGCGAGGAGCGCCGCCGCTGCGGGGACGGGCTTGGCGAGAGGGAGCCGTGGCGGGCGGAGGCTGGAAGGCTTCGGCTTTGGGAGCGAGGCGGTGATGAGGAGGTGGGAGGCGGACACCGACGGCGGCGCCATGGCTGATGAGTAGGTAGTTCTTGCCTTCTTGGGGGATGGCCGGGTGGGTGAGGTAGAGGTACTGAGGTGGGAGGCGGGGCCGGGAGAAAGGGGAGAGCTTGGGGAGATGAGATATAGCTAGGGGAAGGGAAGTGAGCGATGGTTTGCCGATTGACGTGGAGACGATGACGGCCATAGATCTCACTCTGCTATCTGGAGGCAGGGAAAGCGCGACTTGTACACTCACCTGTTCAGTGTTTGCACTCCACGGACGATCGACAGATATTTGGTCCTTGGCCACCAAGTTCTTCAATTCAAATCCAACACCTCAAGCAGAGACTGCAAACTTGAGGTTTCAGAATTTTTGGATTGGTATGTGCTGCATTCTAATAGTACGTTTTGATTTCTGTTTTTTTCATGTCTTTTCGCTTAAGTTTATTCAGCACTACCTTACTTTTTAATTATCGAACAGTGTTTTTATTTCACAATATTTTAGCATAAACATCAGCCTAAACTAAATTTCAGCATAAGCTAACAAGTTGTGCAGTCATTCCACATGTGGCTAATCTGTGTTCGATTGTTCGTAGAAAAACTACCAAAATAGCCAACAAATTAATTTGACATGTGCTTATTGGAAGATCACCATAGTTTATTTCATTCATGCTGTTACGGGTAGCGACTGCCACGACATTACTACATTCTCGATTTTTTTTATTTTTAACACTTTTTTAAATTAATTTTAAATCTAACTTTGTTTATTTTTATTTTAAAACTAACACTTTTGGTCAGCGCCTATTGCTAGATTGACGTGGCGAAGACCATGGGTCTTGACGATCCGCCGACGTGGTAGGGGCTATCGCGCCAAGATCGGTGGGCAGAGTCGGATAAAAGGCCCATGGCCGATCCACTTTACTGCCGCGCCATGGCGTCCACACTGGCCGCCGCCGCGCCTCCCCTACTCTCCAAGTGCCGTCGGCGATCGGCCCTCCGTTGCCGCCTCTCTCCCTCCCTTCCCTTCCATTCCCTGGTCGTCTTCCTCCCTCCTCGGTCTCGTTCAAGGTAATGACGCATTTTTTATTTTCGTTTGAATGGTGGATTGGTATATTATGAATGGGAGTTAAGGTTAGAAGAAAAATTATGTTTGGAAACTATGGGCTATGATTTGGAGAAATATATTAGTTTGATTTTGTCAATGTTAAGGTTAATTATTTAGTTAGAAGTATGTTTACCATGTATATTTTTGTTGCTATAAGTGTTGGTTATATTATTTGAGTTGCAATGCAAATGATTATATTTTACATTAATTTGCGTTGTTTTGATTGATGTTTAATTTGAACCGTTTTATTAGATGGGAGACATGTTTCGGGAGCAGTTGTGTCAAAAACGGGGTCATCCTAGAGAATTGTACCCCGACAAGTCTAGCATAGATGCCCCCGTCCCTCCTGACCTCCTTGTCCCTAAGCTTGTGGATTTGTGGTCGTCCCACCGGCGTGTTTCAATCGAGACATCCGGACATGGCTGACTCGTTGCTTCTACACACATGATCGTTTTAATGTAAGTAATTGTTTTCGTATGTTTTTTTCTTCATTTGTATTACTAGGTTACTAATATTTTGTTGGAATTTCGTTGTATAGGCCTATGAGAGGTGCATTTTCTTTCAGTGGATCGACGGTGCATACAAGTTTGATCCTAGGTACCTCCTTTTCGATGATTGGTGGAGAGGGCGACATCTACGGGAACACTTTGAGTGGTGGGTTCCACCTCCCCCTAACCCCCCTCCAATGATGGCTAAGGAGAAGCACTTAGCCACAGTTAGACGACTTGAGAAACCTTCTCTATGCGATTACGGAGATCGAGCTATGATAAACCCTGAGAATACATTGGAGTTTGTGTGTCCAAACAAACATGAAGTAAGTGCAAAGTGTATGTGTTGAAATGTTGAGCTATATGTGTTCATGTACTAATGTCACCTTATTTAGGTATTTTCAATGGCGAAGTGTCATTTTAAGGAGTGGTTGTATGGTCCTAAGAACCAATGGCCGAAAGAACCGCCAAAGGCAAAGCAAAAGAAGAAAGAAATGTTATTTTACAAAGCACCTCCAGTCAAGTGTGAATGTTGTGTTAAATCCAACTACGGTCTAGTCCCTTCAAAGCTTGGAATAGGCCATTATTGCGGCCATATGGTTGACTATGATGAGGTTGGTTATTTTTATGGTAAACATAAAATCGTATTTTGTTTCATTTGCTAATACATATATGATATAATTTTTCGTTTGAATAGAGCACTAGAGAATGCAGGTGAGAATGTTATGATGGTCAAGCTAAGTTCTTGGATGAACTGAAGGGAAACAAGTAATTGCACGGAAGAGGGGATATGGACCTGACTACGTCGATCTGTTCGTTAAATATCATAAAGACAAGATGCGTGAGTTTTCTAGACAGCGCGGTATTTATAACCCGGTCGATGTTGGGCTTGACAAATGGGGATTGGAGAGACGGGTGACGTTAGAGGAGGAGAGGGCAAGGAAGGAGGCAAGGGAGGAGACAAGAGTACAGATGTAGGTCTTGAACGAGTATGTTGTTGCATTATGTGCTAGTGAGTGTTTAAAAGCCATTGTTTATTGCATGATTTTTAATATAATATAATCACGTTGCTAACTGATTGCATTTTATATATAAAGGGATTGGATGCAACGAGGAACATGCTACAGAGGTGGCTCGTGCAAGATGAGGAAAAGAAGTTAGATGAGCACAGAACGTAAGCTGGTCGCACCGTTGAATCACCGATTGTGTTGTCTGATGAGGGTACGAGGATGAGGACGACACTGCCAGACTGAGTGAGCTCATCGCTCTAATAGAGGTGGGCTTACAGGCGGAGGAGGCTGAGGACAACACTGGTAGACTGAGCGAGCTCATCGCTCTAGCAGAGGCGGGCTTGAAGGCGGAGGAGGCTGAGGACGACACTGGCAGACTGAGCGAGCTCATCGCTCTAGCAAAGGCGGGCTTGTAGGCGGAGAATGATGACGACGCGTTCTTCACTCAGGCTGCAGAGGCCGCAAATGAAGTGGAGGCCGCTTACTACAGGCGAAAGGCAGATCAGGGCAATGTAGGTGACCCTATCCATAGCAACAGGGTTGTGGTAGAGGATTGATACTCGGATGATGAGTTGCTTACTCAGTATGTTTATGACTGAGGGTTTTTGAATTGCGCCATGTATAAGAACTTTCATTGTGTTGTCTTGTTTTCTATTTGAACTATTGATGCATTGTACCCATGTATCATATACTCGGATTACCCATGGTCGATCTTAAGTGATTCCATCCGTTTGTCACCCTCGACCTATCCATTTGTTGCTCTCCAAGTTTTTTTTAATAATAGCGAATGCGTTGAGAATTTCTAAAATGAACAAAATCGACGCGCCAACCCTAAGCCTAGGTTCTGTCTGTGTCCAAGTTCTACCATGCCAAGCCCCACGGCGCGGCAGTACTTGGACACAGACAGAAGCTGACTAGCCTCAATTGCAACTGAACGGGAGCTGCTGTCGGTGCTGTAAACAACTACAAGTGTTGCCGCGACCGTGTGCAAGTTGAAACGAATATGAAACAAATAAATGGAGACCATGCGCAAGTTGACAAGTTACACGTTTTGGACGACAATATTCGTTCAACATAAGTTCGACATAACCAGCTAAGTCCCAGGAGTGAAAGGATCCCTCGGGCGCCTCTTGGAAACCTCATCGTCGTACTCCACCTCAAGAAAGGGGTACATCTGATGCGGCGTGGGAGGGGCCATCCTGTTACAAATTAATAAACAAAGGGTTAGAGTATTCAAATTAACATTATGTAGCATTACAAAATTTGAACCACTTGGTATGCAATACGAACACAATATGAAAGCATATGCTGCCCTCGTCTTCTATGCATGCTAGCCTTATGACCAGGGACTTTGCAAACGGAGCAAAGATTCCTGCCACGGGTCTTGTTGAAGTCTCCCCCTCCGTACATGTCTTCGTCGTACCCTCTCATAGCGTCCATGTCCCCCTTGAGTCACTTCTTCTTCCTCCTACACTTCCCTACCTTCATTAGATCTGGATGCGGCACGTAGTCATAACCATTATAAGGTGGCCATTGTGTCGGGTCAAGGTATGGCTCGAAGCTCATCTCCCAAATACTAACGGTGTTTGAACGGAGATACAAGGGTGACATATATGATAGATCCTCATAGTTGTACCCGCGAACCCTGCAGGCCGTGATCATATGAGAGCAAGGGGCATGCATGATCTGATGAACATTGCAACTGTACTCTACCTTTTCAAGATCAACTCGGTAGTTTCATCCACCATAACGTTCGCCGCACTAAAGATATGGCGGCAGGGTTCATACAGCTCAGCGGTGTGCGGCTTGGCTAATTCCTTGGCCTCCTTCAAATGTTCTGCTCTGGCCTTTTCAAAATGCCCCTGCTCAGCTATATTCCTCTACACAAGTTCCCACCTCTTGATAAAATATTCGTTGCACTTATGAAAGGAGAACTCAACAAATCTAGACATAGGCAACGATCGAACTCCAGTGAATACACGGTTGAAGGACTCCGAGGAGTTAGTGGTCATGATGCCATACCTAAAACCCCCCTCGTCATATGCTAACGCCCACTGAGCCTTCTGTTCCAACTGCGCCTCTAACCAGGCCTTTCCTGCTTCATTTACCATCCTATCTAGTTCTCTCTTTGTCTCCTTGAACTGGTGCTCTGTACGTACACAACATAGAGCCTTTGCCTTCTCACATACCTCTTGCTTCCTTTGACGCTGCCAGAAATTAGCGGCAAAGTGTCTCATGCACCATATATGCACTAGAGGCAGGAACCCATCTATATGCTCAGCTGCAGCATTAAGAAGCCATGGGTGATGGTCTGAGATCAAACATATAGTCCGAGATGGGCCTAGCACTTGTACACGTAGAAGCCACATGAACCATGACCACGATTCATTGTTCTCTCCCTTTGCCAAAGCAAATGCCATGGGTACT